CATCACAGTGATACTACATTAATGACATCATTATAAGGACCTATAAGGACCTACAAGGCAGGGATGGCGGTTATTCTAGGCATGTAAGAGACATGTAAATTTCATGAGTCTACAGGGGCCTGTGACCTCACGGAAGCATTTCAGGGAGTCTAGGTTGAGATAGCTCCGCCAAAATGAAGGCTGAGATATTACACCTTACACCGGAAATAGGAAACAGAAGCATAATGCTTTGAGGTCCTATTTACGGAAGTAACATCTGTCACATTAGTGTGCTTCTCTGACCCACTTATGGGGTGTCTCAAAAGGGAGCTAATTTTGAGAAGGGGCCCAGGGCAGACGAGAGGCTCCATTTGGTTCAGGCTGCAATGCCATCTGTTTTGTCATCCATGACTCAGTGGATCTAACGGTGCTCAAAGTGTCAATGGCAGATTGGAGAGGTGTACGTTACCTGCGACAAGCCCTGTTAGGAGAATCACAGTGTCAATTATAAGGGTTTTGGAACACATACATGCCTTATTCGTCAAATAACTATTTTTCTTTTGAGAAAAACAGTTGGCTTGCTCCTGGGCTGTGGAAGAGACCGAATGTCTCATCAAGAAGTCAGATTACCATGCAGTCTGAGCTGCCCATCTCGAGCAGCATGTTATTTTGATCCATCAAGCCACCAAGTCTGGTTCCCCAAAACACCCAGCTCTACTGGAGACTCTCAGCATTCAGGTGGACACGTTGACCTGTCCTAGGTATGGAAGACGTCTTCTGTCCCCAGTTAGCCCACTGCTTATTCAATGGGCTAATGGACACAGTGACCACGCAGGCAGGGACTGATTGATCCATTTTGTAACAATCTGGACTTCCCCACCAAGGCTGACTTGGCTTTTCATGAGCGTCGCCAGCCAACTCCGAGTCTTCCAAGAGGTACCAAACTCAGGAGAAGTCCTAGACAGCCACCTGAAAGCAGATTACATAGACCTTTAATCACGTAGGACATCAGCAATTTGTGCTCGATGTAATAGACAATGCTTCTGAATTTGGACTGACTTTCTTTGCCCCCTGTGCCTGCATCATTGTCTCGGGACTTTCTGAATGCATCGCTCATCATCGTGGTATCCTATACAATATTGCTCTGAACAAGGACCTCACTTTACACTAAAAGAAGAAATTGGTGGGCTAATTTCTGTCCCTCAAGTAGCAGCTGGCCTTATCCAGTGGTGGAATAACCGACTGTAGACTTAGTTATTGTGCCTGCAGGACAACAGTGCACAGAAAGGTAGTATTGGTATCCTATAATACATAGAATTTCTTTGGAACCCAAAGCTGACATACAGTGCTATTTGTCCTAGCAGTCAGTATACATGGCTACAGGAACCAAGAGAATGGTGCCTTTCGCTAACACGCAATGACTTACTTGCAAATTTTTGTGTTTTCTGTTCCTTCGCTTCTACGCTTGGCTAGTTTGAAGGTCTTAGTAACCAAGGAGGAACTCTTCTACCCGAGGAGATTCAAGTGTGGTTTAATTGAAATAAAAGTTGAGACCCTGGCTACTTCACACTCCTCATGCTAGTGGATGTATTGCAAAAAATAGTATGATGGTGTTGGCTGTCATGATAGTAACTATTAAGGGGAAGCAGAGTTGCTGTTACATGATGAGCATAAAAAGGTGAATAGACAGAATTCAGTCATGGTAGTGCCTCTTGCTACTGGCATGTCCAGTGGCAAACATTAACAAGATTAGATTCCTCAGAAATCAGGGCTACCCCTGACTAGCTGAGATTCCTGATGAAGGGAAGGGGAGATTTGTAATGTCTATTAAGGAGAGCAGTCATAAATACCAATTACAGCTTTATGACCAGTCAGAAAAACAAGAACTCTAACTTATATTTTTTTCTTGCTGTATCATATATATGTATTTCATAAATTGATGCAAAAGTAATTGTGGTTTTTGTTATTACTTTGAATGGCAAAAAGCCACAATTACTTTGGCACCAACCTAATAATGAATCCTCCTTTCCTTTACATTTTTTTCCTCTACACTTTTATATAGGACAAACTAGTGATGGATAACTTAATAATTTAGTCCGTAAGATACAGAATGTCGAGAGGAGATAGTGATAGAATTAGAGGAATGGCTGTCCCCCAGAGCTCCTGGGTTTGGAGCTGGACACAGAAAATGATGATCCTTTTGTGGGGAAAGAGGGAATGTGTTTTTCTGTTTCCTTCCTTCCTTCCTTCCTTCCTTCCTTCCTTCCTTCCTTCCTTCCCTCCCTCCCTCCCTCTTTCTCTCTCTCTCTTTTCTTTCTTTCTTTCTTTCTTTCTTTCTCTCTCTCTCTCTCTCTCTCTCTCCTTCCTTCCTTCCTTCCTTCCTTCCTTCCTTCCTTTCTTTTTTTGAGATGGAGTCTCACTCTGTGGCCCATGCTGGAGTGCAGTGGTGCAATCTCAGTTCCCTGCAACCTCCACCTTCCGGGTTCAAGTGATTCTTGTGCCTCAGCCTCCTGAGTAGCTGGGATTACAGGCATGTGCCACCACACCTAGCTAATTTTTGTATTTTTAGTAGAAACAGGGTTTCACCTGGTTGGCCGGGCTGGTCTCGAACTCTTGACTTCAGGTGATCCACCTGCCTTGGCCTCCCAAAGTGCTGGGATTACAGGCGTGAGCACCTGCCTTGGAATGTTTTCCAGTTGTACAAGGGATATAAAGTGGGAGCATCTTTATTGTATATCATCCTTATTTTCAGAATTGTAAAGATGATAAGAAACACATTGGATACTTGGTAGTCAAAAAGGGGAACTGTTGTAGCCATCTGGCGTTCTTTTTGTCTGCTTTGAAGGCATGATAAAGATGGCTAGTTTTTCTTAAATCCATTCACCCTTTCATCCATAATTACAGAACCATGACTTTCAGCTGTGTACAATGCCGTGGGGACTAAAACTACATTTCCCAATCTCTTGTAGCCAGCTTACTAGGGTAATTAAGTCCTACCAATGAACTAAAAGTGGATGCATTGTGTGGTCTTTCTGGGAAGGCTCCAGAAACAGGAGAAACAAGGGCTCTTTAGTCTCCCCTGTTCCTCCTAACGCTGACCTGGGATGTGGACTCAATGTCTGGAGAGCCAGTAGCCCTCTTGGATCATGAGGTAGAATCCATGCACACTGGAGGGAGAAATATTAGAGTTTGGACCTCTGTTGACAAACAATATTTCTTTAGTATAATAAAACAGTGTAATAAAATGTATGCGGATGTTTTTCCAATGTGCCAGGGGAGATACTGGTAAAATAAGACATAGTTTCTATCATAAGGACACTAAATGTGTTGGGCGGGGGGGGGGGGGACTAACAATTAGGCAAGGAGATTGGGGAAGCACACAGGTGAAACCCTAGCCTGATCCTGAGAGTATGGTGGGTGGAGAGTTCTGGAAAGGCTCTCTGCAGGAAGTAACACCCTCATGATAGATAGGAAGGACCAGCTGTTGGAAGAAAGGGTAGAGTTTTCTTAGTCTATGGGAGTCAGGAGGTGTTAACACTGCTTAACACCTTGGAAGAGATAAGGCAGGGAGGTAAGCTAGGGTAGGAGTTTAGACTCTATCCCCAGAACTCTGAGGAGCAAGGGAAGGGCAGTTAAGCCCGGGAGTAAAGTGGCCAGGTGTTCTTTAGAATGATCATTCCATCTTTCCACTTGCGGTGTTCAGAGCGGAGATTGAGGGGAACGAGGCCAGAGGCGTGGAGACCAATTCCATATTTCCTCTTGAAATAGCGATAGGGAGAGAGGGAAAAGATAGAAAAACTAGAAAAGGAGCTCCACGCCAAAGGCACACTTGGCCCCAATGAACCACCTGGAATATGCTGGGTGCGCTGCAGCCACTAAGCAATTCTGAGCAAAAGCCAGGGTGGATTCTGAATATGCCAGGCCCTCTTTTGGAAAAAGAACACACCATTAGGCACGAAGTGGAGTAAGAAAAGAAATCACAACTACTGGCGGCTCGGAAAATCGGGTTTCTTTCTTCTGTTTACCAGAAGCGCTTGCCCAGCAATGTTTCCAGAGGGCAGCCCGGCTTTCCCTCTTTTCCCAGAGCACTCCCCAGCTCTCCCAAGACAAGGGTGGCGTGGTGCCCCGGGGCAAAAACTAAGTCCGCGTACACCCTCGAGGAGCGAGCTGCTCAGCAAAAGCAAAAGAGAAGGGCTCTCGGGCGGCGGGGACAGACCTTCCTTCGGAATGGGTTGGATCGGACAAGGGAGGTTGTGTGCCGTCAGCTGCCCCACTTCTCTCTGAAGCCCAGTGGGCTCCATCCACTGCCCCGCGGCCCGCGCGCCTCCCGGCACCAACTGCGTCGCTGGGAGGTGAGGCGCTGGGAGCGCGTGAGGCTCTCCGGGAGAAAACAGCCCGGCTTGCATCCGAGAGGAGGCAGCAGCCGCAGGCACCGTCTGTTTCCTTACTCTGAGTATACAAATTTGACCTCAAAAACACAAACCCTGTCTTTGGCATTTCTGCATTTAGAAATAAACATCATTCCAGACGCCGGCCAGTTCATAGCCACAGAGTCGTAAAGTTTTATTTTTAAAGAGGGGGACGGAAAGGACTTGTAAAGTTTTTTTTTAAAAAAAAATTTTGTTTTTAAATAAAGGAATTAACTTCTGTAAAACAAGCAATCAGCAGCAGAATGCGCGAGGCCAGGAGCGAGATCCCCCGAGGCGCGGGTCGTGCCTGGGAAGTTTTGGGGGCGCGCGGGGCGGTGCCGGGGCCGGGGAAGAGGCGCGCGGTTCTGGGGGCGCGCAGTGCGGGAGCGCGCGGCCCCGGGGATGGGGAGGGGGCCGGAGGCGGGGAGGAGGCGCGCGGCTCTGGGGGCGCGCAGTGTGGGAGCGCGCGGCCCCGGGGATGGGGAAGGGGCCACGAGGAGGCGCGCGGCTCTGGGGGCGCGCACTGCAGAAGCGCGCAGTGGCGAGGATAGGGCGGGCCGAGGTTCGCGGGGCGAAGGCGCGCGGTGCCCGGGAGAGGGCGGGCCAGGGCGCGCGGGCCGGGGCGGGGGCGCGCGGGGCCGGTCGGCGCGCGGGGGCGGCGGGCGCGGCGCTGCCAATCGCAGACAAAGGCCGCCCCAGTGAATCATGTGGTGCCGGGGGAGGAAGTGCGGCTTGTTTTCTTTCCTCCAGTCTCGGGGCTGCAGGCGGAGCGCGATGCGCGGAGACCCCCGCGGGGGCGGCGGCAGCCCCGAGCCCCGATGAGGCCGGAGCGCCCCCGGCCGCGCGGCAGCGCCCCCGGCCCGATGGAGACCCCGCCGTGGGACCCGGCCCGCAACGACTCGCTGCCGCCCACGCTGACCCCGGCCGTGCCCCCCTACGTGAAGCTCGGCCTCACCGTGGTCTACACCGTGTTCTACGCGCTGCTCTTCGTGTTCATCTACGTGCAGCTCTGGCTGGTGCTGCGCTACCGTCACAAGCGGCTCAGCTACCAGAGCGTCTTCCTCTTCCTCTGCCTCTTCTGGGCCTCCCTGCGGACCGTCCTCTTCTCCTTCTACTTCAAAGACTTCGTGGCGGCCAATTCGCTCAGCCCCTTCGTCTTCTGGCTGCTCTACTGCTTCCCCGTGTGCCTGCAGTTCTTCACCCTCACGCTGATGAACTTGTACTTCACGCAGGTGAGTCTCAGAGAGGCTCGGCTCACCCGGCGGAGTGGTCCCCGCGGGGCGCCGGAGGCAGGGGCGATGGCAGCCGCGGGGGCGGGTCCGGCCCTAAGGCTGGGAATGTAGGGAGAAGGCGCCGGCTCTGGGGTCGTCCGAACCCTGTCCTGCTTGCCGGCATTTCTCATAGGAAACTCCCTGCCATTCCCAAAAGGGGCGAGGAGAAGGAAGGGAGGGCTGGGGGCCGCCGGTCACTCGCTGCCCCTGGCTCCGCATCCGTTTGGTGGGTTCGGGGCGCTTCTCCGTGCAAAGCGCTAAGCAGCAGCGCCTGCACACGCCAGTTAGTACGGATGGAAGGTGTGACCCCAAGGGAGGCCTGAACTCTAGAATTTGCCCTCCCTCCCAAGGCACCTAACTACCGTCCTGGAAAGGTCCTCTGCGCGTTAGCTTCCAGATTTGGGCCCGACACTGCTGTTCTGAGCGCTGGCAGGGTGGGACCGTGCTGGTTTTGATGAGATGTTTTGAACCTCCGGCTTAGGAGCTCTACTGAACTGCGGCTTACTAACTCATTCCACCAGATTGCTAAACGGCAGGCTGGGGTAACACCCAGCTTCCGAGCTGCTGTCGCTCATCAGACTTGCTGTCTGAGCTCATCTGAGAGGCCCCAAGAAAAGGCCATAAAAGTTGACTGGGGATCTTTTACAGCCACACAAAAATTATTTTATGGGGCATATTATTCAATAAGCTAATCGGAGAGTACGTGAATTAACGTGGCTGCTGCTTTGCTGGTGATGATTGACTTAATTGAGAGTGCAATAATTGTTGAGCACTTTGCAAATACTTTGTAAAGCATTGCACAAAGGCTTAATAACGCGGTGCGCCGTCATCATTCCCATTAGTTTTCCAAGTACTAAGGTGTCCATTTTCAGTAGGACTCTGCCGAAGGGGAAGGCGCCCACGGTGTCACCTGGCGAGGGTAATTTAAGAACTGTCGGATGGGCAGAGACCCTGTGCAAGCGGGCATCTCGTTCCTTTTAAGTGTCTTTTTTTTTTTTTTGAGAAAAAGTCTCTTATTTTTAAAAAGAGGCCATATGCGGTGGCTCACGCCTGTAATCCCAGCATTGTGGAGGCGGAGGCGGGAGGATCGCTTGTGCCCCTGAGTTTAAGACCAGCCTGGGCAACATGGCGAAACTTCCTCTCTACAAAATGTACGAAAATTAGCTGGGTGTGGTAGTGCCTGCCTGTAGTTCCAGCTACTCAGGAGGCTGAGGTGGGAGGCCGAGCCCGGGAGGCGGAGGTTGCAGTGAGCGGAGACTGCACTCCAGCCTGGGTGACAGAGCCAGACCCTGTCTCCAAAAAAAAAAAAAAAAAAAAAAAAAAAAAGGTAGCAAAAGGATTGCTCTGGTACCCTGGAAGCCACTGACTGAAAATTTCGAAGAAATTGCTCCGTACTCTAGTACCCTAAACTCCACAACTAAGAAAATTTCGAAAAATACTTTAGTTAAAAATAAGCGTATTGGTGTTTGAGCAGATGTTATAATCTTTTAAAAATGGGTCTACGTAGAGACTTCTTATAAGTCCAGCGTCTCAGCATATTTTCAGTCGAGTAATGTGTATTGTCTGTCCAAAATTACTACCTTCAAACCAGCAAACCAGTTTCAGGCAGTCAGCCGCATTGCACGAACACTTGGGCTTTTGTAATTGAAATGGGGTGGTTCCAGCAAGATGCAAAGACAGGAAAAAAAAAAAAAAAAAAAAAAAAAAAGGTAGCAAAAGAATTGCTCTGGTACCCTGGAAGCCACTGACTGAAAATTTCGAAGAAATACTTTTGGTTAAAAAATAGCGTATGTGATATTTAGTAGATATTATAATCTTTTAAAAATGGGTCTACGCTGAGAGACTTCTTATAAGTCCAGCGTCTCAGCATATTTTCCAGTCGGAGAGTAATGTGTATTGTCTGTCCAAGTACTACCTTCAAACCAGCAAACCAGTTCAGGCAGTCAGCCGCATTGCACAGACACTTGGGCTTTGTAATTGAAATGGGGTGGTTCCAGCAAGATGCAAAAGACAGGTGAGGTGATGTTACCTCAAGAACTGTGGCAATGGTGGTATTGCACATTGAGTTCTTTATATTTGTCCCCTTTTGGGGGACAGTGGGGGAAGAGGAAAATGCAGGGAACTGCCACAGCTCTCTGGTAATCACATGCAAATTCTGAACTTAGAGCCGGATTAGGGGCCGGGCTGCACATTTTCTGCACTGTCTGCTGGTTGGTGAGTAAATGCTGAGCAAGGGGGAAAAGTGACCAGGCAGACAGAGCCACTCCGGCCCTGGGGCCCAAAGTCACGGCCCTGTCTTCTTTGTATCTGCCAGGTCTGCGGGCACCACAGCAAAGAGCATTTCGCCTGAGGGCACAGGGTGGCTGGCTGGAGAAGGTGGCGCCTCCATCTCTGAGCGCTGGCATTTCACAGCCTGGCAGAACAAAGCTATTTCTGGCTTACTGACAAAACTGTGATACTTCTGGGGAGTTATAAAGTGGTCGGCCTTTTGTCGCCAACCCAGCTCTGCCTCCCATCTCCTCCTCTCCCCCTCATCCCCTCACCCCCTCTTTCTCTTACACAAACCATTGGAATTACCTAAAGTGGGGAGCTTTAAGAATGACTGTTGCTTGGGCCTCCATCTCAGACCAAGTAAATGCGATTTTGGAGAAGGGGCTGACAGCTAACAATTCTGAAGTAAGTTTAAGAAAGCATACTTTTGATCTCGGCTTACTGCAACCTCCGTCTCCCAGGTTCAAGTGATTCTCCTACCTCAGCCTCCCAAGTAGCTGGGACTACAGGTGTGCACCACCACACCCAGCTAATTTTTGTATTTTTAGTAGAGACAGGGTTTCACCGTGTTGGCCAGGATGGTCTCGATCTCTTGACCTCGTGACCTCATGATCTGTCCACCTCAGAATCCCAAAGTGCCGGGATTACAGGTATGAGCCACCGCACCTGGCAAAGAAAGCACACTTGTAAGCAATTGGTCATATTTCTTTTTACCAGAACTCTCTGAAGAAAGTTCAGAGTTGTCTCCATTTTCCAGAGGAGGAAACTGGGGCTGAGAGGTTATAGATGACTTGCTGAAGGTCACACTGTCAGTGCATGGTGGAGCTGGGATTCAATGCACATCTGTGCTGTCTGAGTGTGAGGCTTGTCTTTTATGTACAGTATGTGAAACCTCTTTTTATTTTTTTTGAGAGAGAGCCTTGCTTTGTTGTGATCTGGATTCACTGCAACCTCCGCCTCTTGGATTCAAGCGATTCTCCTGCCTCAGCCTCCCAAGTATCTGGGATTACAGGCACCTGCCACTGCACCTGGCTAATTTTTGTATTTTTAGTAGAGATGGAGTTTTGCCAGGTTGGCCAGGCTGGTGTCAAACTCCTGACCTCGAGTGATCTGCCCACCTCGGCCTCCCAAAGTGTCGTGATTATAGGCGTGAGCCACCATGCCCGGCCATGAAACCTTTTAACAATGGGAAAACATACCACCTCTAAACGCAACCTCGTCTTCTCCAGGAGCACAAAATTGGGTTGCAGAGAATCAAAGTATACATACAGCACAGTTAAGGCACAATTCGGGGCACTGAAGGGAATGGATATTGAAGCATCAGGAGACTTGAATGAGACAGGAGTCCTCTGAGAAGAAGCAGGTGTCTCGAGGCTGAAGCTGGGTGGGGAGGAGGAGAGGACGGTGGGAAGGAAGCTGTGGGACAGTTTGGGAATTGGGAATGAATTAGAAGGGGACGTCCGAGATGGGGAGGAAGCTTTTTCCTGTTGTTGTCAGTGCTTTGTCCTTTTGCGGGCTCCCTGTACCTGGGCCTTACTCATCTCACCCTCCCTGGTGACCCAGAGGGCACTGTTACCCCCCAGCTGAGGCTCAGAGCGGTGAGAACGCTTGCCCACACTACCCGGCCTGAGCCTCCATGCAATGCACACAATGCTGCAGAACGCAGCCCCAGCTGCCCTTGGGTACACATCTGAGGGTCATGCGATCATGAGAAGACTCAATTTGATATACTTCCCCCTAAATCACTGCTTTTAAATTCTGCCAGGTTAAGTCTCTTTCCACCCCAGTGACCTCTTGGGCAGATCCTATGGCTTTCTAGTCATACTCGGTGATTATTATTACTATTATTCTTTTGGAGTCTGGCTCTGTCACCCAGGCTGCAGTAGTGTGATTTTGGCTCACTGCAACCTCCGCCTCCCGGATTCAAGCAATTCTCCTGCCTCAGCCTCCTGAGTAGCTGAGATTATAGGTGTGTGCCACCACACCTGGCTAATTTCTGTATTTTTAGTAGAGACAGGGTTTCACCATGTTGGCCGGGCTTGTTTTGAGCTCCTGACCTCAGATGATGCGCCCGCCTCAGCTTCCCAAAGTGCTGGAATTGCAGGCGTGAGCCACCGTGCCCGGCCCATACTCCTTTATTAAATCTGTACATCTAATTTAAAGCTTCTGCCACCCTGTCCAAGGCCAGCCAGGCTTCGGGCCGCAGGGCTTGGCGCAGAGGGTGTGCCCCATGCTCTCAGCCTCTCCCCTTCCATCTTCCCAGGCTGCCCAGGGGAGGGGCACACTGTCTCATGACTGCTAGCCTATCAGCCTCTGGTCTTGCTCTGGTGCCACCTCTGTGGGTAACTCTGCCACGTGGCCATGTTGACATGATGGACTTCAGCTTCTTCCTAGCCCCATCTTTGGTCTCCTTTCCATCCTAATTCCTGCTTCAGGGGGCAGCCCCGTGGCTTTAGGCCCCTTTTCGAAAAGCCGTTTTAGGGCTTTTTCTTAGAAAGCCGTGGGACCACTGAGGCCCCTCCACTCCCCCTTGGCCACATGGATGACAGGCTGGATGCCTAACTAGTGTCTTCAGGACCCTGCACCTGGCTGCTTTGCACTCCTTGCCTGCCTGGGGGTCCTCCTACCTGTAAAAATCCCAGGTGGGGCCGGGTGTGGTGGCTCAAGCCTGTAATCCCAGCACTTTGGGA